GTTGTATCACATTAAAAGAAAAACATTTTTAACTATATATATTTTTACATTAAATGATATATTATATCATAAACAATAATCTCAATTCCAAATCTCTTTCTACCATTCTTAAAATTCAAACTTAAAATTTCTAATATAAAAATTCAAATGGTTAATTACTAAAACATCTTTTAAAAAGGCCAAAATTTTTATTTGCACCCTTCATTTATGTCATTTTTGCAGTCAATACCTTTAAAAATTTTTCCTCTCTATTTACACCCTTCACTTTTTCAAACTCATGAAAAACTAATATTTTAACATACGTTCACGTGTCCAATTAAAATGCAATACATGGCACTCAAATAGTATCATGGACATTATTAATTTGATGTGGATCTTTTTTTTAATAATGTGGCATAATTTTGTGCACAGGTGAACACCAGCTATATAGTGGAGACCACTGTTAGTGGGACCCACTTCTCCCCGCATCTCAACCAAAAAAAAAAAAACTAAAACAACTTCATCCTCAATCTCAAGATCCCAATTTCCAGATCTAGGGTTCTTCAAAGGTTAAATGCTAAATTTGGTCCTTCAATTTTAGTGAGTTGCACATTTTTGGTCCCTCAACAATTTTTTGTACTTTTTTGATCTCTAAACTTTAAGAAATGCACTCCATTAATCCTTCTGTTAATTTCGAACGTTAACTCGCTTGCGTGGCATTTTTTATAATTTTTTTGATGACATGACAAAAACAAATTGAAAATGTGTTGATGTGGATTTTTTTTTCATGCCAACTCACATTATTACTATTTATATTTTAAAAAAATAAAATAAAAAAATTCTGATCATTTTCTTCCTTTCTCTTTTTCTTTTTTTTTTCTTCCTCTTCTTTCTTCCTCTTCTTCCTCGGGTCATTGAACCCAGTTTGCTGGGTTCGACGGAACCCCGTCTGGGTTCCACCGAACCCAGCAGATCTGGGTTTGCTGGAACTTTTTGACATCATCTGTCCTCTTCCATTCCCTCACTGGCTTTCCTTGCATCACTCCATTTGATGCCCACCATTTTCTACTTTGTTTTCTGGCAAAGGTTATCGGTCGCCAACCCTATGGACCATAAGAGGAATGGCAAAAGAGCAAGGCCATACCTTATTATCCATAACGATCCAAACATATGAAATACATATCAAAACATCAGTTCTCAAATGCAAAGTAGCATTTTCTGAGTTTTAATCCATATGTTTTTTTTATACATATAATTCAGACAATAAATCTTGGGTAGAGAAGTAAGAAATGAATAATTCAATAATGGATGCATTGCCACTTAATTTGCTTGTTTTGATACAAATTCTCAAACTCACTAATGGGTGTTGATATTATTCTGTACAACACATCAAAATATAGCCTACTGAGAGGGGAAAAAAAAGGTTGGAGCTGATAAGTTTCAGCCAACTACTGCAAGCAAGCTTTGTCTTACAGCTGGAACTGAGCAGATGACTGAGCCAAATATACCTGTGAGTGCATATGTAATGGCGCAGAAGGGAAGAGCCTCGGGTTCCTTGGCTGACAAAGCTGCAGTTCCCAATCCATGGGCACTGGAACAACACAAGGAAAAATATAAAAAAGCAGATTTAGAGAATAGAGATGAACAATTTTGTGATTCATCAGAACAAAAAAAAGTTGTTCATATAAACAAACAAAAAAAAAAAGTGGAGCTGGGTTCTAGGTTCCGTTGAACCCAGCAAACTGGGTTCAATGACCCGAGGAAGAAGAGGAAGAAAGAAGAGGAAGAAAAAAAAAGAAAAAGAGAAAGGAAGAAAATGAACGGAATTTTTTTATTTTATTTTTTAAAAATATAAATAGTAATAATGTGAGTTGACATGAAAAAAAAAATTCACATCAACACGTTTTCAATTTGTTTTTGCCACGTCATTAAAAAAATTATAAAATATGCCACGCAAGCGAGTTAACGATCGAAATTAACAGAAGGACTAATGGAGTGCATTTCTTAAAGTTTAGGGATCAAAAAAGTGCAAAAAATTATTGAATGACCAAAAATGTGCAACTCACTAAAGTTGAGGGACCAAATTTTGCATTTAACCTTTTTCAAATCCTTAACTTTGTAATCTCAAGAACCCAGTTTTCAGTTACTATGCCATCACTCTTGACCTCAAAGGCTACAGTGACACCGACACGCTAGAATTAGTCTCTAGCTACACTTGCTTCCACTTGGTCAGCGATCTGATCGGCCTACTCGATGCGGTTGCTGCCAACTAGGAGAAAGTGTTTGTGGTTGGCCATGACTGGGGTGCAACCATCCGTTGGTACTTGTGCTTGTTCCGGTCGGACAAAGTCAAGGCTTATGTGAGCTTGAGCGTGCCTTTTTGAAGAATAAATCCGGTGATGAGAGTGAAATCAATTGATTCCTTAAAAGCATTTTTCTGCGACGATTATTACATGTGTAGATTTTAGGTAACACATGATTCTTCATCTTCTCATCTTCTGATCAATTTCAATTCCTTTTCTCTCAATCAATTGACATTAATTTGTAGGAGCAAGGGGAAATAGAAGCAAAGTTTGCACAGATTGAAACAAAGGACTTATAAAAGAGTTCTTGACATACAAGCTTCCAAATCCTCTCCGTTTCCCTAAAGGTACCAAGTCGTTCGGGCATCCGCGGGAGAATCCCGTTAGATTGCTGCCCTGGTTGTCGAGGAAAGATATCCAGTATTACGCCTCCAAGTTTGAGAAGACAAGTTTCATTAGAGACGTGAACTACTACTAGAATTTGAACCAGTATGCTGACTGTCCTCCAACCTTATGTACTTTCTTAGGCATAATATTTAATTTCTTTACTTTGACTTATATATGTTGATACAAAAACTACGAATTGCTAGCGCCGTGGGCGGGGAGTTAGATTAAGGTGCCGGTGAAGTTTGTGACCAGGGATTAGGACCTCGTGTATCATATGCCAGGTTTCAAATTGGGTTCTTGCGATTGGGGATGAAGTTGCTGTTTTAGTTTTTTTTTTTTTTTTTGGTTGGGACGTGGGGAGAAGTGGGTTCCACTAATAGTGGTCCCCACTGCATACACGGTGTCTATTGATGCAGAAAATTATGCCACATCATTAAAAAAAGATCCGCGTCAGATTAATAACATTACAAGATGTCTTTGTTATTGTTTGAGTATCATGTATTATATTTTTTAATGATTATTAACGGACACGTGAGTGTATATTAAAATATTAAATTTTTCATGAGTTTAAAAAAGTAAAGAGTATGAATAAAAAATAAAAATTTTGAAAGATGTTTATCACAAAAAAAACATAAATGAAGGATGCAAATAGTGACTTTCTCTTGTAAGAAGTAGTTGTATATTTGTATTAGGTGGTCGTTTCAGAAAGTGTAGAAAACACCAAAACGCAGCGTTTAATTAAGTTAAGAATCGACAAAATCATCTGCTTAGCAGATAATAACTTAGGAACTTCACTAATTTCCGTCAATACCCTTGCTCTTTTTTCAAATTTACCGTTTCAGGTAAACCCTTGAGTATCCTCTACGTACTTTCTCTCTGCTCAGATTCCACTTATCTCCATTTTTCTCTCACTCTAGATTCTTCTATTTCACTTCCGCACTGCTTCACCTCAGAAAAACCAAAAAGTACTATTAAATTCTTCTCTCTTTAATCTCTCAATTTCTTGATGTTAATGTTTCTTCAATTCTCACTCTCTCACAGCCAATGACAGACTCCTCCGATGAAGCCAACCGAATCGAGAAGCTCTACGAGTTCGGCGAGCGGCTCAATGAATCCAAGGACAAGTCCCAGGTCCGCCTCTGCTGCCGTTTCTAGGGCTTTCTGTTTCTTCGATTTGCTTCAGCTCTGGCGTTTATGGGTTTGGTTTTTGGTTTGAATGCAGAATGTGAAGGATTACGAGGGAATTATAGATGCTACCAAAACGAGTGTCAAGGCGAAGCAATTGGCTGCTCAGATGATTCCGCGCTTCTTCAAGTTCTTTCCCGACCTGTCTAATCGCGCCCTTGATGCTCATATCGATTTGATTGAGGAAGAAGATCTTGGGGTCTGGATATCTATCTATTTCTTCCTATTTATTTAACCATTTCGTTGTTCAGGTTTACTAAGTTTGATTCCTGAGTGTGAGGGGAAGAAGAGAAATTTCAGAATTTTGTATAGTTATATTGTTTCAGTTAAGAGCTAGTAATTTTTTTTTATTTTTTGGAAATTGGATTTGGATGTTTATATTGAGTTGGGTTGTACAGGCTCGGGTACAAGCAATTAGGGGACTTCCACTATTTTGCAAAGATACAAAAGAGCATAGTTCTAAAATTGTGGACATTCTTGTGCAACTCCTTACTGCTGGTAAATTTTTTATTCTATTAGATTTTACTTCCTAAGCATGTATTTTTTTTAATTGTTTAGATTGATTGTTCTCTTTATTTCTTTTGGTCCTTTTAGAGGAGACGGTGGAGCGAGATGCTGTGCATAAAGCCCTTATGTCCATATTGAGGCAGGATGTGAAAGGTAATTTGCATTCTTATTGTGATTCATAATTCTGGAATATGGATATGAATTAGCAGTTTATGTATTCTTGGGCCAAATTTAGGCATTGTTGATAATGATTAAAACTGGTTCTTTTAGTTCAAACAGCCTTTGAGGCACATTTCATAGTATTTAGGGTCTCGGAATGTCATTTTACCAAAAAGTAAAATCTTTGGTTAATTGAAGAAGAGATGTATCGTTTATATTTTTGCAGTCTGATATTCTTTATATATACTCTTGAATAAGATGGGCTAGAGATTCTGTTTTCAACTTCTTAGAAGTTATTACAGTGGTGTTATAACATTAAAACCCGATAACAATCGTTGGCTGTGATAGCTACGATTTGGGTAATGGCAGGGAAATATCTTCTACCCTGTGTTTTGGTTGTTTGCTTTTTGAAGCTAAAAACTTATACAACCTCTAAAACTGTGTCCTCAAGTTATTCATAAATTTTAGATTCAGAAACTTTATTAATGAGATCTGTTGTCTTTATCCAAGCCAAAGTTAGTGGGCAGGAACTAGGCATGACAATGAAATTTCTCTACCTGTTGTCAATCCATAAACTGCTCATCTCTGCTAATATTTAGTCATCACCACCTTGCTCCTTCTGCGATGACTGGTGTAGTGCAATATTTGGAGTAACCAAGTAGATGGTTGAATATATTTTCTATTCTAGTATCTAGTTGGTAGTAGAAACCTTAGCTTGGTTGGGATTAAGAAGAAATGTATCTTCTCATTGGTTATCTTTATTAGAATGTAGATTTTCTTTGAAATATTGGGTTTCATGTTGATGCAGATTCATTGAGAGCCTTGTTCAAGCACATTGGTAGCACTGAGGAACCTAGCACAGATGAGTTTATTCGTGAAAAGGTTATATGCTTCATTAGAGATAAGGTACTGAACTAGATTCATGCTAGGCTTGTTTTTTACTTTTATGATTTGTGTCATGGCATTAATTGTCTACTAATTACCTACTTCTGCAGGTTTTTCCTCTTAAAGCTGAACTTTTGAAGCCTCAAGAGGAAATGGAGAGGCATATTACTGATTTAATAAAAAAAGTATGTTAAGATTTTATTACATAGGCATTCATGTTCATTTTCTTTACCCTGTTATACCCGCTCTACTTCTGTCCTGTTCACTTTATTCTTAAGTCTCATTGTTGAACTTCATATCAGAATGAAAGACACACGGCTAATTCTTTTAATGTTCATTGCAGAGTTTGGAAGATGTAACTGGAGCTGAATTTAGAATGTTTATGGACTTCTTAAAAAGTTTGAGCATATTTGGAGAGAAAGCTCTCCCTGAACACATGAAAGAACTTATTGAAATAGTAGAGGGTCAGGCTGATTTAGATGCACAATTTAATGTGAGTGATTGTTTCCTGTATAGTTTTAGAAACTGGTAATTGTTTAGTATATTTTGTGGATGTTGTTTTCCCTTCTTTTTTTCTTTTCTTTTTTTTTTTTATTTATTTGAAAGGATTAAATCTTTACAACTAATGGGTGTTTTGTGCACATTTGGATCTTGGGATTGGTAATTTTCTTAATCCTAATAGGGTGGTCTAGGTTTTGCTAATTTGAGAAATTTAGGGGGAATGGTGGAATAAAGCCACCGCTGTATGAGGGTTCAGTTTGGGAAATTCTGAGGGGGCGTTCTTCTCCTTCAGAAGTTGTCTGTTGGCATTGTCATATTATGAATGTTGCATTATTGTTTTTCAGATCCTCTGTGATTATGGCTTCTTTTATTTTTAATTTTCTTGATAACTCACATCTTTTAGTTGCAGGTTTTAGATGCAGACCACATTGACAGGTTGATATCATGCGTATTTATGGCTATTCCTTTTGTTGTGGTATGTGCTGTATCGTATTGAACATTATCTGTTATTGATTACCATTTAAGCTCTGTCTTACCAGCAATCCTTTTTGACAGAGAGGTGCATCTGGCAGCAAGTTCCTCAACTACTTGAACAAGCACATTATACCTGTTTCTGATCAGGTAACTAGTTTTGTGTCACCTCAAATATTGAATGCATGTTATCGAAGTACATTGGATTCTCCGGTTATTTATTATTTTGGGATCTTGCACTCAGTACCTTACTACCTTTTGGTGCCTGCATGTGCTATATTTGATGTCTTCTCAACTTGATTTTGTTCCAATTTCTATGAATCTTGGTCTTGGTAAGGAAAACTGGTTAATTTTCAATTTTAGTCTTGGGCAATTTAGAAAGTGTTAGTGTTGATGTGCCCAAGTGTGTGAATGTTGATGGATTTTATCTTCTGTCTCTCGTATCAAGATTCCAGAATTGGAGTATACTTTTCCTACTTGAAGGGCTTGAATTTATTTATTCATGTTTGTAATTCTTAGGAAATCAATGGTGCTTATCCAAGTATGTGGAATTTATTTCCCTTAATAAAGCAGTTTGAAGTCTTTTCACTACCTTGTTAGTGGAAAACCTGAGGGCATGTGGAAATAGAAACAGAAGAATATTCAAGTTTTATGGGATATATTTCTGGCTAAGTTTTTAATGGCATCACCAAGGCTCTATGGAAACTTTAGCCGTGCAAGTGTTTATTGAGTGCTATTTTCCAAAAGCTTACATCTTAGAGGCTCTACCAATGTGCATAGCAGTGATTCCTGAAAACTGGGTATTTGTTTTCCTGTAAATTCTGGATGTTGTGAAGATTCTATTTTGACCCTACATTTGTTTGAAATAGCCCTACAAAATATTTTCTGATAATGTTTCTTTATGACAGCTTCCAGAGTTACGGAAACTAGATCTGCTTAAAGCCCTTGCAGAAATTTCGCCTTACACATCAACACAGGACTCACGTCAGATTCTTCCTTCTATGGTGCAGTTGTTAAAGGTAGAGATATGTCATTATGACCATGGATAGTTTTCCGTTTGCCATGCAAGTTTTGGTTGTATTTCTAAGAGCAAGGGTTTTCTTATCACATTGAAGTGTTTAAGCTTTTAGCTGGCAAAAATGTCTTTATCTTGAACTTAGTTTTATTTATTTAGACTCTGATTGTTAATAAATTTCTTCCTTCTACTCAGAAGTACATGCCTTGGAGGAAGACTGGAGAAGAGACGAACTTTACTTACGTTGAGTGCTTGCTGTTCACATTTCACCATTTAGCTTTCAAGGTTGTTCATTCTCAGTAATTTTTTCTTTCATAAAATTTGCTCCATAATCCCAGAGTGGAATGCTTATTTGATCCTTGTCATTGCACAGGCTCCCAATGCCACAAACAGTCTATGTGGTTACAAGATGGTGACTGGTCAACCATCAGATAGGCTTGGGGAGGACTTCTCTGAGTATTATAAGGATTTCACTGAGAGGTAACCTATTGGCTTTTTTTGATATTTAAGTTTTTTAGAAAGAAAAGATTAATGCCCTTTTTTCTCCTTCCCTCTGAAGGTGTTGATGTTTGTAAGAGAATAAATTATTTAATTATGCGGCAACTATGAACCGTAATATTGTTAAATTCATGTTGGTAGAGACTTTTGTCTTTATTTCTCTGTATCTGAATCATGCCTAGTCCCTGTATTAAGAGTGATTGAGTAGGGAAGGACTTTAGTATAGCTGGAATTTTACAAAAGACTTGATCTGTTTATGTATCATAAAGTAGATGAGGTAGACATTTGCTACTAATCTTTTTCTTGTCCTGCACTATCTTCCTACACTTGATATTGGATAACTTCTAATGAATATAAATATATTGTGTTGCCATATGACTTATGCTAATGACTTTATTAAATATTAAAGATGCAAACTGCAGAGCAAAACTTGACAACTTGTGATAGCTTGAAGTTTAATCAAGATGTGATTGGTTTGAGGTTTTCAAAGTTCCCAATCCCTCCTTTCTCCCATACTTGAGGATATTAGGGGAAGTTACCTACATGGTAAATAATATAAAACAGTTTGTTATCAATAATAGAGTTACGTATATGGCAAGAAACTTTAAGGCAAAGACATGGCATGAAGGTTCCTAGATTTTGTAGCCATGTTTCTGTGTATCTGTAGTCTATAGTCCCTAGCTGTAGCAGATGATGGAGGTGAAGTATCTGCACCTAGTTGTATGTTGCAAATTGTGATCTGGAAGTGTGTTGATTGATTTTTGATGGGGTAAAAATTTCAAGGTATTAAGGAGGTTTGATCCCATCGCACTCCACCTCTTTGCTGCTTGACTTCTTGGTTCCAGCATGATTTCCTCTAATGGAGGATGTCCATTTTTCCTTCCTCTCTCCAATCTTCATTTTCACTTTACATTCCATTTTGATGTTAATTCTAATAATGATTATCATACTTTTTTTGTAATTGATGACCAGATTGAGTAATGTTGAGGACCTTACCCGGGCTACCATGAAGAAATTAACTCAAGGAATGGCTGAGCACAACAAAACAATGGCAGCTGCTAAGTCTGATGAAGTGAAGGATAAGATTGTTAGTGAATCCTCAGTAAATCCTGTCTTTTAAGCATATTATTTACTCTGATTCATTTTTTTTTAACCAATATCTTCATTTTATTTACACAGAAAATTCAAAAACAAAACACCACAACTGGGTTGCGCACCTGCAATAACATTTTAGCTATGACAAAGGTAATAGTTATAATGGAGCAAATCCTATTTTCTTTTTTTCTCCTTCTGATGATTATTTGGCATGTATGACTGATTTCTTGGCATTTTATCTTTTATATTTTCTTACTTCTATTCAGCCTTTACATTCAAAAACACCTTCCTTTATTGGGGATAAGAGTGTAAATCTTTCTTGGAAAGAAGCTACAAAACCCACTGCAGCCTCTAATGCAACGACAACTGGGTAATTAGTCCGTCTGATTTTCAACTTTCTTTCATATTCAGGTTCCTTGACAACCGAGTGTGAGGGTTCTTCCCTCGTAGATGTGTTACAATTTTAGACGCTTGGTCCAAATTGAGCCTTCTTAAAATTGCACTATTTTTTATGTCTGTCTTCTTTCAATCACTTTGCATCAACTCTTGTGCAGAGTGAAACGACCTGTGAATGCTGGTAATGGATCTGGTAACATGGCTTTAAAGAAGGGCCGTGGAGCTGATGGTTTGGATAATCATCTTGTTAATAGAGCACGGGAAGGTATATCTTACGGTGGGAGGACAGGTGCAAGAGGCAGGGGCAGGGGCATGGCCAGGGGATGGGGAGGACGTGGGAGAGGAAGAGGCTACCAGTAAATGGAAGCTTGAAGCTTATCCCCCTCCAGAAGTATAAATGACCATCGTAATTTGGACTCTTAATTCCACCTGAGGAATATGAATAGAATCATTGATATATTAAAACTTAAGTAATTTCTTCTCGGATAAGTTTTTTTTGATAGAGAATACCAATTACCAAACACACTCTAAAATTCGTTGTGGACAAATAAAAGCCCGTATACTCTATACTGGACACCCTCGGACTTTGAGAAGTCATTTTGGTAGAGTTTTCATTCCTTTGCAATCTAATGTAGAGGTCGCAGTTTGCATTGCATATAGAGGATGATTATTGCAAACCTGACCGTGTGGGATCTGGCTTCTTGTCCATGATTTCACAGCAAGAATGAAGCAGTCTAAAAAGATCAGCGAATTCTATCGCATTCTTTGGGAGAGAGATCAAATTCTATATGGTTAGATGATTCTGCAAGAAAAAGCAGCAAATACCATTGAATGGCATTATTCAACTGTACAGTGATTCAAGTTCAACCATTCAAGAATCATTGTTCTTTTTCACCGAAGACTTTACAATCCAAGAATTCTGCGGAATTTCAATCTCAACTGATGAGTTCTCCACTGGAGTCTCTATGCCACTGTACGGTGGGCTACCATATTCAACCTGGAGCTCCATTGGGTGTTATCCGGTGCTTGATTAAAGTTTGAAGCTTCTACTGTGACATTAACGTCTCTGTGGGACAGATACCTAGCAAGCACAACTGCCATATTCCGGGCCGCTGTATATCTCGGAGGTGAATGGTATTGAGTTTCCTCTCCCCGGCAATAATATTTCCTTAGTGAGAGAATGATGGAGAGAAGAAAACAGATGGTGGAAGTTCCCCCAGATATAAGATAAAGACCCCAGAAGCTGTGAAGGCTCAAGCTGTCAGTGCTGGTTTCAGTTACATTAACTGGACATCGAGAATCAAGCCACTTATCCTCCAGTCTTTTCACAGTTCCATCTTCAAACAACTTCAAAATTGCTCTTGAAAAATCTGCTGCTATTGGAGAACCCTTTTGAAATGCCTGCATAGAGAGAAAACCAAGTTTCATTGTTGCTCAATTTAACCAAGAAAGAGGAGATTTTCATAGAAAGATGCTAGCTTAGTGCACTCACAAAGGCTAATCCTCCAAATTTAGAGATAGGTGTGGTGGGGATGTATTGATTGCAGTGATGGCTGAGGAAAATTTTCTGATATGGGAGTTCAAGAAAGGCAGCAGTTATATTGTTGCTTTTGAACTCCCCTTCATATTTGTCTTCACTGTCAATGTTCATGATGTTCTTTTCGTTAAAACGAAAAACTTCCTTCAGATAACTCTTCACAAATGAATCCCCATTACACCCTATTTTTGCATTCTTTAACCAGGAAATGTCTGTAACATTTGGTTCCATGCGCCGGACTGTCAGCATTGATGATAAGCTAGCAGTGTAGCTTGATGTCAAGATCATCACAACAAAGAGCCATACGACCACCACCAATTTGGTCAAGTTGCTATGTATTTTCTCCCCTGAAGACATCATATTTCGGTTATGTCTGCAGTGAAACTTCAAAAAAAGAACGATTTCTTGGATTGGAAGTAATGCTTACTGTGTGCAAAGAAAATGG